CAGCGCACCCAACTCCGTAGGGCCACAGAAAATGGGGGGCACGGGCGTGAGTCATGGAGGTGCGGGCGATCTCCATGACCAAGCCTATGCGGCGCTCAGCAACCCCATTCTGCTGTGGGGAATCTGGATGCGTCCAATACTGACGGATGCCCTGCTCGCGACAGAATCCAGCAAGAATGCCGGAGCGAAACTCACCCCCGCGGTCGGAGTGAAGACAGCTGACACGACGACCACGAGTGTCCGCAGTGGTAAGTAACCACCGGATCAGCGTAGAAGTCACCTCAGACTTCTTCGCCAGGGGGAACACTGTGGTGTAGCGAGAGTAGTCGTCAACGACCACCAGAAAGAAACTCTCTCGCTCAGGGCCAGGGCGTGAGGCCGTGCCCCAGACGTCCAAGTGGAGAGTCTCGAAGGGCTCGGTGGCCGGACGAAGGGAGGAGGAGTGAGGGGTGGCGCGCAGCCGACCCTCGACGCAAGTGCTGCAAGGTGGTGCAGGCGAAGGCGGCAGCGACGGCAAGACTCGCGGGAGGCCTAAGACAAGACGATGTCTAGACATTATGCAAAGGCGAGGAAGGGACGGGTGACCAAGACGGTGGTGCCACAGAACGGTGGGGTGGGCAAGCGACTTGCACAAGCAAGAAGCAGCAACCTGACGAGACGCGGTGACCTTACCAGACACAGCTACCTTGTGGGACACAACAACCTGGTGGGACGCGGGGACCTGACGGGGGGCAGTGACAGGGGTCGGAGGCAGCTGCTTTTGCCTCTCGCGAGGGCCAGCGTGGAGCGTGTAGAGACCAGAACCGGGTGAAGGTGGCCAGGGGGGCGTACGTGTCACTGTCCACACATGGCGTAGAGTCCCAGAAGGCTTAAACCAAACACCAACGTGCGGACCCACGAGCAGCCGCACACCCACCAAGTTCCTAGAGAACGAGGGGACATGGAAGCCCGTCAGAGTACCCGAAGGAACAGCCGGGCACGGAAGCGTAGTAGAGTGGTGAGCAATGATTGGTCCCGAAGTGGGATCAGCCAATGCTATAGAGACTGACGCAGAAAGCAGAGTAAGAGTCGTGCGGTCGCGGAAGCAACACTGCGAAGCTCTGGAGTCCAGGGTGAAAGACCGTGAAGCGTCCGCCGGAGTAGCTCCTGGACGAGTACCTAAGCAAGTACCTAAATTAGCAACTGGCACATGATCAACACTAGCACATAAGCTAAAAACACTCGAGCAAACAGAGTCAAAAGCACTAGAGTCAACAACAGCATACATAGAATGTGGAGTTCCTAAGAGATCAAGCAACTGAGAAGCAGACATGCCCCACAGAGCGTGATCGTGCGAGTGAACAGGAGGAAGCCAGTCAGGGGCAGGGCCGCGCGAACTGTGTCAGTGAGCTGAGAAAAGCACTGACCCAATGGGTGGCGGCAGTCACAGCGGAGGCCCTGCGAGTACCTGTCTGAATGAGGTAGGGGCAGGGAGGGTGGGCGTCACCATACGATAGTTGACGCGGTCCTGACCCCTGCCTAGGAACCTGCTGCTGCCCTTGCTGCTGCTGCGGTTGCTGCGAGAGGAGTGGTTGCCATTGGTGTGGCATGAGGTGGCAGTTCTGCAGGTGCCCGACGAACCCGAGCGTCACCTCCACCAGCTGCAGCAGGGGAGTCACTAGAAGCTGCACAAGTCGCTCCACCAACACCTTCACTCCTGCCATCGCCACCAGCCACGCCACCTCCGCCGCTGGCCGCACCCTGGCCGCCCCTCCAGCCACTCCTAGCTCTAGAGTGTGCAGAAGTCGTGACAACAGCGACAGTCTTATTAGTAGCGCTAGTGGCGAGGGAGGCACAAAAGGTTGGTAGGTGAGGGACGGTGCACCCTAAGCTTAATAAGCGAAAGTATTGTATAGTGATTTCTGGACATAGTTTTGAGATTATAATCTCACTGGCAAAGCACCAGAGGCGGAGGCTACCAAGCGGAAGTTGTTCTCGACGTCCTTGAGGGCAGACTCAAGGACGCTGATAGTAAGCTCGCTAGGGTGCTTCAGAAGAAGCGCGTCACCAACCATGGCAAGGCGGTCACGGAGGCTAGTGGCGATGAAATATATAGTAATCGCCATGGGGGGGTGGGAGCAGTGTAAGCTGTGCGTCAGTGCAAGCAACGCGGTAGCTAGAATCCAGTGAACGTAGGCAAGAGATCAAGTCAGCAGAACGCTGAAACGAGGCGAGGCCTGGAAACAGGAACGTGAGGAACAGGCGACCAAGAGAGACAGTGGTGGGAGTGGAGTAGCGGGCATTGATCGTAGTTTGGAACTCACTAGCAGTGTGAACCTGGGTGAAGTGGGTCTCCTCAAAATCAGGGAGGAGGCTGCTGAGGGCGATGCAGGCCGCGACGTCGCGCGACTTTTAGGCTGTCAGAGCCTCGCGCTTACGAGCAAAACGCTCTCTGTCTACAGTGGTGGGGTCAGCGCCTAGGGGATCAAGATCAGAGGGCGCAAGAAGGTCAATGGAAGCGTGCGCCCAGAGGGACTCGTCAGCCTGACACTAGCTCTCTAGGAGGCGCTGGGCACGCATGAGCCAGACAGAGAACTTCAGTAGCCTACCCTCGGCGTCAAAGCGCAGGACTCTAGGCGTCGCCATATCGGAATCGGAGGGGAGCTACGACTGGAAATTGCCTAGAAGGTCGGAGCAGGGCGTGGCAAGCAGGGCGCTACGCGACGAGAAGGGAGGGATGGGCAGGGCGCAACGGGACGGGCAGGGCGCGACGGGAAGGGCAGGGCGCAACGGGACGGGCAGGGCGCGACACGACGGGACGGGCAAGCGCGACGAGACGGGCAGGAGGGAGGGACGAGGCGGGCAGGCGCGACGAGCGCGAGGGGACGGGACGGGACGGGCGCGACGCGACGCGGGACGGGCAGGCGCGACGCGATGGGACAAGCAGGCGCGGCGGGCGCGAGGGGACGGGACGGGACAGGCGTGACGCGACGGGACAGGCAGGCGCCACGCGACGGGACGGGCAGGTGCGATGGGTGCGAGGGTACGGGACGGGACGGGCGCTACGGGCGCGGTAGGCTAGGCGCAACGGGCGTGAGAGGGAGGAATGAGATCCAAACCTAGGTGATACCATGTCAGAAATTGAATGATGATAGTAGTGCTGTGAGTTGGGGTACATATGCCTAACCCTAACAACTGTACCCCACATGACATGCCTCACTACAGGCTACAACATTTGACAGTCATTACCAGCTATTGAAACCACATGGAGTTGTCCCAAATGAAATCAAGCACGACCATGAATAAGGCTTTTCCACTTCATAATACTGGAAACAGGAGTAGAGTGTCTACCAAGCAGGGGCGGAGTTAATTTCAACTCAAAAATGCCACATTGCCCCTCTAACCCTCGCACAGAGATACAATAAACCATAAAATTTACAAAAAAAAAAATCCTAACAAGCCTCCCCGCACCTCTTCTGCGGTGGGTGTGATGACTTCGAACACTAACGCCAACATGAACGCTAGACCCTTTTTGGTCGACAAAGATGGAGTCCGCCATAACAGTAAAAGCCAGAATCAATGCCATGTCGACATTCGGCAGGATTCGCACAAAGTATGTCTGTTGGTGGAGTAGAAGGTCGCGTGCAATCAACAAGTTACGACCTACTTCAGTTAATAGCGTGCCATTGCTGGTGGTGATCTGGCATTTGATTTGCAGGGTGTTTCAGGTGGAAGCAGAACGGAACACATAAAGTGAGTTATTACAAAGGCATCCATATTTCCATTTTGTAAGGATGAGAAATGGTAGAAGTGGATGGGATGCATCTGAAAAGAGGGTTGGGTTGGCAGAAACTAACCCTGAAATCATGCTTGATTATTGACCCAGTTAGGGTAATGAACGGATTCTCTGAATTATTTCCCCGTAAAAACACCTGAAAGAGAGAAAAGAAGAGAGTGAATTTGCTAGACAACAACAAGAATTGGAAGATGAAAGGGAACGAGGAAGAACTACTAAGGACAACCAATAAGAGGGAGGTAGGATGGAAGAAATGAACTGAGAAAAAAAACATACGCTTGTACAAATATAAATTAACTGATGATTTGGGAAAAATGGCAGGGAGCGCAGCTGAAGAATGGGGCCAAGGGTGTTCTGAGACGTCTCAAAACACAACTTTTATCAAATTGGCAGTGAGCGCACCTGAAGAACGGGGCCAAGGGAGAGAACGACTTTCTTGGCCATAAGCAAGGGAGCCTTGGTGTCTATGCTATTTCCTGGGCAGAGGTAGGCGGTGTTGTGCAGACTAAACACCTTGCTTACTAGCATGCACACGGGTGCTTTTGCGGTGTCCAGGATTTCTGTCTTGGCAGGAAGAGAAAACAGCAAACTCACTAAGTAGTAACTCAAATAGCCCGCGGAAAAAACTAATGCTCAGATCAACATGACTTCGTGCATAGGTGGGTCGTAGCACCAGCTGCGAAGTCAAGCTGCCAAGTCTAGTATTGTGTTATAAGGAGACTCTTTTTGGTTTACGCAGCAACCCAACATTCTAGATTTTGATGTTTTGAAGCACACCTTAAGAAGGCTATGTGAAACAATAATCCAACAAACGCCTCATCTAATGGATAATGACAGCAACCTAAGTCTGCGAACATTGAATGACACTAAAAGAAAAATCTGGTCCATCTAAGCAGGAAGCCAGCTCTACCAAGCCATACTCTAGTAATGGCCAATTAGCAGGCCAATGCAAAAACAAACCAAATACACCTGCTCGTCAACAATCACACTGTTTAAACCGTAATTACAACTCTTCCTCGTCAAGTGTCAACAGTCCAATTTCTCCAGCCTCCCACCTGACGTTTCCCTCCTCCCTCCCCAGCCGACCCACCTCCGTCCTCTACCTCCACCTCCACAAGTCCCTCCCCGCTTCCCCTTCCGTCCACCTACCGCCCCTACGGCATTCTCCTTGCTCGAGCCACCCACACTGCCACTCTGCTGGGAGTCCCCTTCGCTCTGCTCGTGGTTAGAACTCCTCAGGAACATGCGAGGGATTGTCATCGTTGTCTTGTCAGAACCTAAGGAAGAAACTTCCACTGACCCCTCTCCACCCCCTCTCCCTTTCACTCCCCTCCCTCCTCTTCGTCCTCGTTCGTCTCTCGCACTCGTTTCTGTTCCTCTTCCTCCACTTCCCTCTCCTTGCTCCTCCTTTCCCCCCGCCTCCTCCTCCTTCTCACTCCCTCTCTTCGAATCCCCCCCTCCACTTGCATGTTCCTCCAATGCCCCATTCCCCTCCCCGTTCAAATGCCCCTGATCCCGACCCTGGCATTTCAAACCTACGCCTGAATGCCCTTCCGGATCTAGCCCGCCGACGATCTCCGTTTCACCGGACCTAGCAGGCCCCATCCACTCGCCCCACGTGCCGTTGCTCATGCCCGGACCACTGCTGCGGATCCAAAACGCAGCACCAAGCGCACCACTCCCTAACGCACCCGGCATAGCATCACACCCACCCACAGCCGGAGCCCCACAGCTGCCCACCACACCTCCCCCTGCCCCAATCACTTCTCCCCCACTTGCCCCACATAACCCCTCCCTAAGGCCCCCCATGTTTGCTTCACCCCCAAGCGCTGTGGCTGTCCCCGCTCTGCTCTTATCCCCCACTTCAGCTAAAACAGCAACATTGGCAGACGCCAGGGGTGGTGTGCTGTTGGCAGCTGCACCAGCAGTGGTGGGAGCAGCAAAAGGATAACTTAAAGGCACTGCTTGACATCCATCACCCTGCAGTCCATTTTCCTCTCGATTCTCCCCTCTATCTATGCATCTTTCTCCCTCCTTATCATCCCCCCTTTCCATCGTGCCCTGCAGTCCCACAGACTCCTTCTGCCCATCCCCACCCTGTTTGTCTGACAGGGCGAGCATCAGAAGATCCAACGGTGAAGAATCCTTCCCTTCACTGCCACTACCACTGCCAATACCCCTCTCACCATCGCTGTTGTTCTCCTTGCCCTCATCGCCGTTGCTGCTCTCCTTGCCCTCACCAAGTCCGCCGTTGCTCTCCATGCCAAAATGTCCGCCTTCATTCAGCTCTGCTGACTCTGTCGCTGCTCCCCTGTGCTCTGCGGCAACCCCCTGCTGTTGTGGCACCTCCAGCTGCTGCTGCTTCTGCTGTTGCTGTTGCAGCTCCGCATGCTGCTGCTGCTGCTGTTGCTGAAACCCCTGGTGTTGCTCTTTTTGAAACCGTTGCTGGAGCTCCCCCTGTTGCTCCTCATGTCCCACATACCGCACTCGACCATCCACCTCCTCTGCCTCTACTTGTTTCTCCTGAGTCGCCTCCTCAGAATCCCCCCCACTCTGCCCCCCTTCATTCTCCCCCATCTCCCCCATTGCTCCGGTCTCCTGCATCTGCCCCATTCCGCCTATCCCCTCTTGCCCCTCCCCCTCTCCCAAATCCACTGGCTGAGTGGCATCACAGCACATTACAGGTTCTTGTGACGGGGGCAGTGAGGGCAGTGAGGATGGCAAGTGTTCGATGGGGGGGAGCTCCTGGCTTAGAGAGATGGGGGTGGATGGTAGAGGCAGGTCCTGACTCGCAGGCATACGGGTCCTTCAGCCAGTCTCTTAGTGGTTCTTTAAGCGAGTCTTTTAGCGCGTCGCTCACAGCAGTAACAGTGACAGCAGCACCAGCAACACGAGCAGAGGCGCCCTTAGAACCACCAACCCTCGTATCACCCCTGGCAGCAGCAGGGGGGGAGAATCTCCTAGGGGTAGACTTCCACAGGCTTTTACCTTCCGCCCCTGTACCCTCCTCCTCTCCCCCTCTCCTACTCCCATCTCCGTTGACTGCGTTAATGTGTGTGGCGCTACCACCACCCACAACAGTACAGCCTACTTCAGGTGTACCTCCCTCTGCATAGCCCCCCTCCATGTTGCCTGAGCTCGCACCACTTGCTGCCACGTCAGCAGATGAGGGCACTCCGGGTGTTGCCGACGCTGCTACAGCCGCTGCATTGGCTGTAGCTGCATCAAGTACAGCTACACTGGTGGCAACAACCCCTCCTGCTTAAGTCACTTCTGCTATAGCCCCTTCTGCTACAGCCCCACTGTCAGTTTTCTTGGGAGAACCTTCAGTGTGCTCGTCTGTGGGTGTGGAGAGGAATCGGATCGGGTAATCATCCGGGGTAACCTGGGAAAACTGGGCGCCTTGGGAAAAGAGCGTTTTGCAAGAGAACAGGCAACCCTTCCAACCCAACCCGCAGGGAACCATGGCCTTTGTGACACCCGTCCCTCCCCTCTCCGTGATGCTCCTGCGACTCTGTTGCTGCCCTTCCTGCTGCTACTGCAACTGCTGTTGCAACTAATGTTTGGATCTCATGCTGCTGTTGGTTAGAATACTGATTCTGCTAATGCTGATGCTGCTGGAAACTCTCCTGCTACTGCTACTACTGCTGACCTTCCTACATGGTCATTGCCTCGCTGCCTGTCTCCCACTTCCCTGCCGCCCAATTCTCCTCCTGCGACCCCAT